AAAAACAAGCAATGGGGAAAGGATTCCCTGTTTAATAAATGGTGTTGGGAAAACTGGCTAGCCATGTGCAGAAAGCAGAAACTGGACCCCTTCCTGACACCTTACACTAAAATTAACTCCAGATGGATTAAAGACTTAAACATAAGACCTGGCACCACAAAAACCCTAGAAGAAAATCTAGGCAAAACCATCCAGGACATAGGAGTAGGCAAGGACTTCATGAACAAAACACCAAAAGCATTGGCAACAAAAGCCAAAATACACAAATGGGACCTAATCAAACTCCACAGCTTCTCCACGGCAAAAGAAACAGTCCCTAGAGTGAATTGGCAACCAACAGAATGGGAAAAAATTTTTGCAGTTTACCCATCTGACAAAGGGCTGATATCCAGAATTTACAAAGAACTCAAACAGATTTACAGGAAAAAAACAAACAAGCCCATTCAAAAATGGGCAAAGAATATGAACAGACACTTTACAAAAGAAGACATACATGAGGCCAACAAACATATGAAAAAATGCTCATCATCACTGGTCATCAGAGAAATGCAAATCAAAACTACATTGAGATACCATCTCACACCAGTTAGAATGGCGTTCATTAAAAAATCTGGAGACAGCAGATGCTGGAGAGGATGTGGAGAAATAGGAACACTTTTACACTGCTTGTGGGAGTGTAAATTAGTTCAATCATTGTGGAAGACAGTGTGGCAATTCCTCAAGGACCTAGAAATAGAAATTCCATTTGACCCAGCAATCCCATTACTGGGTATATATCCAAAGGACTATAAATCATTCTACTATAAGGACACATGCACACGAATGTTCATTGCAGCACTGTTTACAATAGCAAAGACCTGGAACCAACCCAAATGCCCATCGATGATAGACTGGACTGGGAAAATATGGTACATATACACCATGGAATATTATGCAGCAATCAGAAACGATGAGCTCGTGTCCTTTGTAGGGACATGGATGAATCTGGCGAACATTATTCTCAGCAAACTGACACAAGAACAGAAAATGAAATACCACATGTGCTCACTCATAGGCAGGTGATGAACAATGAGAACACATGGACACAGGGAGTGGAGCACTACACACTGGGGTCTATTGGAGTGAAGAGGGGAGGGACAGTGGTGGGGGGAGCTGGGGAGGGATAGCATGGGGAGAAATGCCAAATGTGGGTGAAGGGGAGGAAGACAGCAAATCATACTGCCACGTGTGTACCTATGCAACTATCTGGTATGCTCTGCACATGTACCCCAAACTCTAAAATGCAATAAAAAAATAAATTATCTTGTCCCAATGGGGAAAAAAAAAAAACAGAATTGCCAAAACTTGGAAGAAACCAATATGTCCTTCAGTAGGATAATGGATAAATTGTTTTATAAATCCAGCAAATTGAATACTATTTAGCACTAAGGATACATGAGCCATCAAGCCATGAAAAGACATGAAGAAAAGTGAAATGCAAACTACTAAGTAAAGAAGCCAGTCTGAAAATGCTATATACTATATGATCTCAACTATATAACCCTCTGGAAAAGGCAAAAATATAGACGCAGGTAAAAGATCAGTGGTTGTAAGGTTTTTCAAGGAGAAAAAGAAGAATAGACAGAGCACACAGGATTTCTAGGGTGGTGAAACTACTTTGTAATACACTATAATGGTGACTATGTCATCATACATTCGTCCAAACCTACAGAATGTGTGGCACCACGAATGAAACCTAAGATAAACTATGGACTTTGGATGATAAAGATGTGTCAGTGTAGGTTTATCAATTTAACAAACATACCACTCTGCTAGGGGTATGTTTATGAGGGAGGCTATGCATGTGTTGGGGCAGGGGATACATGGCAAATTTTTTACCTTCTTTTCCCTTTTGCTTTTACCCAAAATTGCTCTAAAATATGAAGTCCATTTTTTTCTAAAAAGAAGAGAGTCTTAAAAAAGATAGTAAGACCCTGAAGTTAGAAGTATCATAATAGACTTTTAGGACCTTATTTGGTATTCACCATCCCTGGCACACACACACACAAACACTCACACACATACTCACACACACTCACACACACACCATTAACCCCAGGTAAAGGTGAAGCCTTGTTAAAATTGTTGGCATCAGGATCGAGAGCCAGAAACAATGTATCTACAAGTATTTCTCATAAAGTCATAGATTATTTGTAGATCCTTAACAATTGGTTATAAAAGTTTCTGAGATGTAAAAAAAAAAAATAGACCTTATCTTTTGCAGATGATGTCACTAGCTGCACAAGTTATTGTTGGGAGACCCAAGAAAAGCTACAATGAGATATGCTATTTCTCCCACTTCTTTATGTGGCTACCTTGTTTCACCTAAGTTTCTGCATTCTTTGCTAAAGAAATCAGGAATTTACTCTGTGTGAGTGGGTGTATGTGTGTGTTGGATGCAGAGAGAGGCACCAGGGGTTTCTTCCCACCAATCTATAGCCTACCTGAAATGGCATGCTTACATAACCAAAATGTCTATAATTAAAATATGCCTACCTACCTCCCTTTCACACTTGCTGTCTCCAGAATGCATCTTGCTTTTTCACACCTCTACTTCTTTAATTATATTGCCCTCTGTGCCTGGTCTGCACATAGTTGCCTCCCCCTCTTTTCTCTTACCCCCAGTAACTCCCACTATCTCACTTCACAGAGAAGAGGGATCTATGCAGACACCCTAGTAGGTGTCCACAATAGCACTTACCACTTATGTCTAATCCTGTGTTGGATTATGAGCTACTCAAGAAACAGAAATGCTTTCTTCACCTTTCTATCTCTAGGGTCTAGAGTGTTTATTAAAGAATGTACATATGTGTTTATTTATAAATGGAATTTAACATCACAATAAAAATAGGCACAGGAACCAGCCATCAAAGATGTTTTAGATGTCTTGCCTTCTTCCCCCCACCACATCCCACACTTTCCCCATCCCTCTCAACATATTCATTTAGTTATTTATATTGCTTAACCAGAAAAGTTTCTCGGAAAAGATATTTTTTAAGGTAAGGCAAAAAGTAAAAAAGAGAAAAGGTATTTTCTTCCTGTGCCCACTTGAGAAGCCCCATATGTGGTACTGGTTTCTCTAAAATGAGAAGCAAAGCTAGTCTCATTTCCTTTCCTAACCCTCTCCAGTCCTATGTCAAAGATCCAGTGCTCTGTCCCCTTTAAAGTCACAGGGGTGTCTGTCTCAAAAGAAAATGAATTCAAATACACCTGTAATTGTAAAAGGCTTTCTCCTCGGCAACAGGAGTAGTATTCTGGAAGTAAAGAATAAGACTGCCTTTGGCACCCAACTAACGTGGCTACTTCCACATAAGGAACTAACCAAAGACAGAAAATCCCACCCTGACTTTTGAGTACCCTTGCTTGAAGTTCATTTCTTCTGTCACTACTCTGCAAACAGCAGTCATATAAAAAATGTCACTCTTGGTAAGTGCTGCTTACCCTCAAAAAGGAGCTGCTTTCTTGTTCATGGCCACTTTAGAGACTGGAGACATGAGGTGGGGGAGGGTTGTCCTTGTGTTGGAATTAGGAAGAAGTACGGACAGATCCCATAGTGATAAAACCATGTGCCCTCAAGAACGGCCTCAGAAGGTGACATTCCAAGCCTAAGTGCCATTGTTGGGCATCTTATTCTCGGACAGATGGTTTCTTAGTCCCTCCAAAAAATTAGGTCCTTGATCACAGACTGACTCTAACACAAACCACATATTTACCAACATTTTTAGTGGTCAGCTTTCCTTTTCAGTGACAGCACTCTTTTCTAAAAACAACCATTCTCTCGAGTTATGGCTTAAAACAAGTCAGTTGGTACTATTTATTAAAATTGATATACCCAAAGAAGCTTGAAATGTTTTTCTGTGTGTTTGTTTCCCACCATCTCGGTTCACTGCAACCTCCGACTCCTGGATTCCAGCGATTCTTGTACCTCGGCCTCCTGAGCAGCTGGGACTATGGGCATGCGCCACCACACCCGGCTAATTTTTGTATTTTTAGGAGAGAAGGGGTTTCGCCATGCTGGCCACGCTGGACTCTGAACTCCTGACCTCAAGTGATCCACTCTCGGCCTCCCAAAGTGCTGGGATAACAAGCGTGAGCCACCGCGCCTGGCCCAAATTCATCTTTTACACTTGCATTCTTGTTTGTTGCATTTTGTCAAGTCTCAGTAAACTGTTTACCTATTTGCCTGGGTTTTCCACAAAACAGTGTGGCGATATCGATTATGTTCTGGGCTAGATCTCCTATACAAAAGTGGTAACACAGTAAAGGACAAGTTTTCCTGAAAGACACATGGTGGGAAGCGGGGAGACTAGCTGCCACCGTTTATTTCTGTTCCAGAGAACTATACTGAACTATTTATACTGAACATATTTAAATGGCACAAATTTTATACCAGAGTAAAACGAAGCTACATTATCTCAAAGTTACGGCTCGTTAGACCTTCTGTATAATAAAATACTCAGTCCAGCAACTCTGCCTGTGAAGATGCATTAACACTTCGTTTGGAATCCTAACTCTAGCCTCTTACTAGCTGTGTGACATTGAGCAATTCACTGAGGTTCTCTGAGCACGTTTCTCTGCTCTCTAAAATGAAAGTACAGTGTCTACCGTAGGGGTTATGTTCTCAAGTCAGTAAGGGAATGGGGGACCCACGCTGAAATTCTCTTTGAAAATCACTTGAATCGTCCATAACTACGCAGGTTGAGTTTCGCTAAACATCACCATACAATAAGTACTACAGACGCTATATTTCGAGCAACCGCTGAGATAGACTAAATAAGAAATGCATGTCTGCGTTACAGTGATCGTAAAACCAGCGTGGCGTATGCACAGGGCGAGACATTAAAGCCACTCTGGTTTCAGAACTCACAATCACTACCGGTAAGTGGGGTGTGGATGGCGAACACCACTCTAGATGCTTAACAAATGTCCGCGTCCATCCTTTCTTCTGCCCTTTGAAGCACCTGGAAACGTTCCTGGAGCCGCGGGTGGAACGCGGTTACAGGCACAGGCATTGGTTCATGAGGGAGGAGGCTCGTGCGAGGGCCTCGTCTGTGGCTCTGACCCTGGCACCGGCACTTAGAAGCACCTCGATGAACACGAGAAGGAATTATTATTTACCCTAGATTGGAGTTCGAGCTATTGCGACGTAATAACGACCTCACGTACATTTTTTAAAAGCAAGCTTCTCACACACGTCACTTCCGGAAGCCCTAGTGCGCCTCGGGCCCCAGCAATGCTGCGCCCAATCCTCCGCGATGCCGTAGTCTCGCCCGGTCTCGCGATACCGAGGCTGAGCCCGCCCGCGCCGCCTTAGGGGCGGCCCGGAAACACTTCCGTATGTAACCGTCTGTGCCGTGTACTTCCGGCAGCCCTCGGAATGCTTCTTCTGCTTCTGGAACCACCCGGCGCAGGTAGCTGACACGGAACCCGGGACGGTCAGCCCGTCAGTCGCCGGGCCTGCAGTCTCTGGCCATGGACCGTGACCTTCTGCGGCAGTCGCTGAATTGCCACGGGTCGTCTTTGCTCTCGCTTCTTCGGAGCGAGCAGCAGGACAATCCGCACTTCCGGAGCCTCCTGGGGTCGGCCGCGGACCCAGTCCGGGGCCCCCCGCCGCAGCAGGCGTTGCAGGGCAGGTAAGGAGACGTTGGTGCCGCTGCGCAACGGGAGAGGGGTCGCAGCTCTGGCTGCCACTCCTGCCGCCCAGGGACTGCGTCTCGAGCAAGTGGAACCGCGGCCGTGAGCACCGGAGGATCGCGCTGGTGCCTCGGGCTGAGTGGACTGTGGGGACGCCCCTGGTGTGTGCAATGCCGGGTGCGCGCTGAACTTTTTCTCAGATTTCTTAGCTAAAATTCCTTAGGCGTTCGTATCTGGGTTGGAGGCCGCACTTTTTAAGTTTGCCCGCCCTTCATCTCCAGGTTGGTTAATGAGGGAATGCCTAGTTAAAACTTTTTTTTTTTTTAAGTTTTGGGGTACATGTTCAGATCTTGCGAGATTGTTACATAGGTATACACACGCCATGGTGGTTTGCTGCATCCATTCCCCGCCCCCCATCACCCACATTAGGTATTTCTCCTATTGTCCCTCGCCAGTCTCCCCACTCCCTGCTATCCCTCCCCTCGCCCCCCACCCTCAACCATTTTCTCCCAGGGTGTATGGGCTGGAGCTTAAGATGGAGCAGAATGGGCGATGAAAACCATTAGCCGAAGGTTGGAAGTAAAAAGGCTTTCTAGATAAACCCATTTTCATATATATTTTTTTCTTTTTAAGGAAAGAGAAGAGAGTTGACAACATTGAGATACAGAAATTCATCTCCAAAAAAGCGGATCTGCTTTTTGCCGTTTCCTGGAAATCAGATGCACCTGCAACTTCTGAAATTAACGAAGACAGTGAAGGTGGGTTTAGCCTGAAACTCTTGAAGATTGCGGTTTGGTTTAACAATACTTCAGGTGAGAAGGAACTCAAAGCAATTGTTAGTGATTTTGTTAATTGCTTTTCAGATCACTATGCAGTCATGCCACCTTTAGAGCAATTCATGGAGATACCTAGTGTGGATCGGAGAGAGCTGTTTTTCCGAGATATTGAGCGTGGTGATATAGTGATTGGAAGAATTAGTTCCATTCGGGAATTCGGTTTTTTCATGGTGTTGATCTGTTTAGGAAGTGGAATCATGAGAGATATATCCCACTTAGAAATCACAGTAAGTTATTTTTGTTATTTGGATTGCTTCTATTTTTGTTAAGTCATCGCAATGCAATGATTAAATATTTGCATGCAGTTGTACTCAAGTAATACCTAACAAGATACTTTGGGGAATTACATGTTAATTGTAGAAAAATCGTTAAAAAAACATTAGTGAAAGTTACTTACCCAGTTTCTCCCTCTATTTCTGGTTTGGGGGCATTTTTAAAATTTAAAATCTGATTGGTAGGCACATTGTCCTTTTTTAAATGCTCCAAGAGATATCAGTGGATATGGTGAGGTTGATTGGTATTCGGACTTATTTCTTGTAGTTGAACATATGTATTTTTAATTAGTTAATATTTGGCATTAGATATTTTCATGTGGATAATGTGGAGAGAAATTTCTGTCATTTGCTTATTTATAGTAATTAAACATAAGTGGTTTGTACCTTATAATAAGGTACTTTGCCCAAGATAAGTAGTCCTGAATTTCAATTAATATGTGATGACAAAAGATTGGGTATTTGCTATCTATCCAGGCAGATGAAAAGGAAGAAAAGCAGAATGTGTCACAGACTGGATAACAGACAAAAAAACTTTGGAGAATTCACATTTCATTTTCATTGGAAAACTTATACCTTATAGACAACTTTAATTTGCTTTTGAGAGTGTAGTATATTGTCATAATCCATCATATTTGGTTCCTGAAACTAATGGAAAGTTTCATGGGATTTTAGTTTTTTAACTAACATATTTTACTGTGTTTGGACATGGAAAGTACTTTTAACTACATCCTCATTTAAATTTTTACTTTAGGACATTCAAATATTAGCTGTTTAATACTGAACAACTAGGATAAAAGAAGACACTGTTCTAACCAAAGCTTGAAATGTCTGGTGTTTTAAAATACTTCTCATTACAGGCTCTTTGTCCCTTAAGAGATGTGCCTTCTCACAGTAACCATGGGGATCCTTTATCATATTACCAAACTGGTGACATCATTCGAGGTGATTAGTTTCATCATACTAATGAAAAAGTGATGATTGTTGAATTTTTGTTTCTATTAATTTTAGCAAATACAGTCTAAGAGGATAGTGTTTGGGAAGTTTTATATTTTTTATATTTATATATTATGTTAGTTTACATTTCTTACTAATCAGCTTAGTTTTCTCTCTCTTTTTTTTCTCTTAAGCTGGAATCAAGGATATTGACAGATACCATGAAAAGCTAGCAGTATCTCTGTATAGCTCTTCTCTCCCACCACACCTATCTGGTATTAAATTAGGCGTAATTAGCTCTGAAGAGCTTCCTTTGTACTACAGGTAATTTATCCATATTATTTCAACAGTTCATTACAAAAGTCTCTTGAATTGAAGAATACCAAATTTTGTCAAACTTGACAACAAAGGGGAATTTTAATTTCGCTTATTGCAAAATGCATTCATTTTGTTTCTGTAACCATTAAATCACTTAGACTTGGTAAAAGAAACCATATCATAATATTGCCACACCTCATGCAAAAATGGTATTAGTATTTCAACCTCATATGATAATATTGTTTCTTTACTGGAAATGGAATGTCAGATTGGTCATTTTACGATTTTTGTGTTGGTGTATATTTTCTTTTTCTAAGGAGAAGTGTTGAACTAAATAGCAATTCTTTGGAGTCCTATGAAAATATCATGCAGAGTTCCTTGGGATTTGTTAATCCAGGAGTAGTTGAATTCCTTCTAGAAAAACTAGGAATAGATGAATCTAATCCACCATCTTTAATGAGAGGCCTACAAAGGTATAGTAAATCAGTGTTATTCTCTTAGGTGGTAAGGGGAGTGGGGCTAAGCTCAGAAGCTGCGTAGCTGAAGGATGTATATGACTATCCTAAGCCACCTAGTAGCAGGCATATGCCAAAGGTTGACTGAATCTTCTGAACTGGACTGTCTTATGGAGAAGGATGCAGAAACTTTTTAATAATTTTGTATGTATACTAAAGAAAAATACTGTTTAACAATAATCATTTCAAAAGTTCAAACGTTTTGCCATGTGAATAGAATGTGAATTTCTTGCTTGGGATTCATACTTTCAGTGTTGAGTGCCTGTCAAGCAGAATTAAGTATAATTAATTTAAAAATATTTTTGATTTAACTTTTAAATTTTTTTTTATAGCAAAAATTTCTCTGAAGATGATTTTGCTTCTGCATTGAGAAAAAAACAATCTGCATCTTGGGCTTTAAAATGGTATGAAGACTGTCTTTCAACAATTGCATTATCTCATCTAGAAGCTTAGGGCAAGGCAAGCATGCTTATATCATCATTAAGACTGAAATTTGTTTGAGATAAAGGGATGCCTTTTTCACATGAGCTTTTAATTTCTTTCATTGTTAATTTTTTTAGAATAGATTTACATTTTTCATTTTATAAGATGTAAGTAGTCTTAAATTTTACACTTAACAGACTTAAGTTTTATTTAGCATTTCTGTTTTCTCAAAAGGAGTTAGTATATTGTTATCTGGGTTTCACCAATATTTGTTATGAAAATGTCCAAAGGCAGAAGAATCCTTCTTAGGTATATTGTGAATATTCTGAAAACTAAATATTTGCCAAGTTTGATGACATTTGCTTTTCAAACTTATTCACACTAACATTTTATTTAGATATTCTTTGAAGTGTTTATGATGCTTTACAAATATCTTTTTTAGTGTGAAGATTGGAGTTGATTATTTTAAAGTTGGACGCCATGTGGATGCTATGAATGAATACAATAAAGCTCTGGAAATAGACAAACAAAATGTGGAAGCTTTAGTAGCTCGCGGAGCATTGTAAGTGAATCATGCATGGATTTTAAGAATGTTTACCAGGTAAACGTGAACAGGATTTATGAAGAGCTTGTGAGATACATCCCTTTAATTGTGTTTCTTGTCTCCAGATATGCGACAAAAGGAAGTCTGAACAAAGCAATAGAAGATTTCGAGCTTGCATTGGAAAACTGTCCAACTCACAGAAATGCTAGAAAATACCTCTGCCAGACACTTGTAGAGAGAGGAGGGCAGTAAGTGTCAGATTTTGTTTAATAGTAGAGGTCTAATGTTGAAACAACCACTAAAAGATTTTGAACTTAACATAAGGAAATAGTTTCTTAAGGCACTTAATTTAGAACACTTTTGGTTCAAAAAATAAATGGAAAAGTACAAGAGTCTGGTTTAATAATGAATTTCTAAATTCATGTCATCATTTGAGTAGTATAATGTCCAAAATATGAATCAAGTGTTCTACAGTTAATTGTAAGATTTTGCCCTTATATTCAGCTTATTACTCCACTGTTTAGTAAAATCAACTCTAGTCTTCACACTAAAAAGGATATTTGTAGTAAATATTCTTTAAGGAAGAGCAAATTAAGAACAAAACTATAATTACGTTATTATCTTGAGATGCTGGCATAATACCTAGCATAGTAGTTTGTAAAATATTTAGTGATTAACACACCAGTCTGATTTACAAAGTATTTCCAAGAAACGTAATACTTTAAATATAATTTAGTAACAGACTGCTTTAGTAATTAAAAGCTGTAATTACGGCTTTTGTGAAAACAGAAGCCAGTTTATAATCAATAGCATCTCTCATTGTTAATT